GGCCGCTGACGGCGAAATCAACGGGGGTGGGGTTAGTTGGTAGGCGTCCGGGGGAACTGGTGGTGTAGCAGACCACTCCTCCGGACGAATCCAACACTACCCTCTGGCAGGGATGTTCCCATTGCACGCCAGAGGGTGTCTTTGGAAGATTCCCCACCCCCGGGGAGGGGCTTGCCCCTCCCAGAAACAAAAAAAAAAGAAAAAAGCAGGAAGGACGTGTTCTGGACAGCTCTGGTTTATGTGGCTTATAATGGATTGTTTGAGGCTCCTAAGTATGGGAAAACGGTAATAATTGTGCTTAGCGTGTTGCCTGCTACTGGATTTGGTGAAGTTTTCACACATTTTATTATTTTTGAACTATAATCTTATTTGTAAAGTGCTCACTGCAGATTGAGGTTAAGACATCTGTGGCTCTGGTTCACAGTATATATACCTTTTGTCTTGAAATATTGTATGGATTTTTACTTTTATTGAATAATTATATCTAACTGTGTGATTTTTTGTTTTCATAAATATGTATTTGTTAATATATATTGATATAAAGTGCTACGCGTGAATAACTCCAGCGCATGCGCGTGTGCTTCGAGCTGAGACAAGTAGCATAAACTTTGTTGTAATTATTACATATAATTATTAGAACTGATTGACTTTTGTGTTATGTAATAAAAGTGGAAATTTATGGACCACCATAGTTGCCCATCTAGTGCATAAAGCTTTATGGTGTCCGCTTATAGTTGTTACAGTGTGTGCTACATGCTTAACCCTTTCGTGCCAGCTGGCAGTTACATGGTTGAGTTTTGAATAATTAACTAAATAACTGGAGAGAATATTTTATTATATTATCCATTTAATATTGTTGTGAAAAGTATTTAATACTATTTGTGATTTAAGGATGGTGCACTAAGCATTGTGATTGACTTGCAGTTTGCTATTGAAATCTAATTTTGTTATTGACAATTATATTGATAATAATATAAATGATAATATTGAAGGGCCCCTGAATTGCTGTGGGTCTGATTCTACAGGCTTTCTTGTGTACTTTCAAATTTCTATGATCTATGGAGATATATGATTTGGATTTAGAGGTTATGTTGCACTGGTCATGTGGAAAAAGATTATATATTGTTAATTATATGATTCTTATTGGGTGTTTACGATAATTCAAGTTCGAGTTAGTTTCACTAGGACCGAAAAATGAGATATACATAACCATCTAGAACCTTTATGATTCATGACAACTCGACGCTGTTTTGTATTGCTTGAGTTAAATTCATTGAATTTGTTGAGTTTAATAAATATAATTATATACATATATATATAATTATATCTATTAAAGAGGTATACCAACATACATACCAACATTATTTGTTTCTTTCATAGACTGATTTGCAGTTGACATTTTTTATTACAATAAAATTTGCTCTATAAACTCAACAAATTCAATTAATTTAACTCAAGCAATACAAGACAGCGTCGAGTTGTCATAAATCATAAAGGTTCTAGATGATTATGTCTATCTCATTTTTCGGTCCTAGTGAAACTAACTCGAACTTGAATTTGTAAGATGCAAGCAATAGCATCCGATAGACGGCGCCAGCGGACGGCAGCCGGTTGATCCATAGACATAGGAATATAGGGACCGAGCATATCGTTGCGGGGGGGAAGCTACTGCGGGACGGTGCGACGAGGTAAAGTGTGCCTAAATTTGATTGGCTATTAGTTTGCGCAAGCGCGATGTAAGTATCGTGCGACTTCCAGTGTGCATGGACATAGGAATATAGGGTCGGAGTGTAACGTCGCAAGAGGAAAATCACTGAAGGAAGGGGACGAGATAAACTGTGCACATTTTTGATTGGCTACTATTTGACGCAAGTGCAATTGGTCATTATTCGACGCAAAAATATTATGCAATTTGGGCAGATATAATGAGCATTTAAAGTTATATCAAGAAAAAACATTAATTAAAATTGTTATTTTAAATATATTTTGTGAATATAAAAAATGGTGCAGTGTTTTGTACAGTCTTGTAAAAATAGATCCGACTATCAAAATTGGAAACAAAGTAATAGCAGAAATAATGTAAAAATAACATTTCACAGGTATTGAAATTATTTATTCATATTAAAGTTAATATTATATGTTTAAAATAATATTATATATTTTATTTTAAGAGTATAAGAGAGAGAGAGTTGTTAAAAATATTGTTTTTTTTCTTAGTTTTCCCAAAGATCCTAAAACTCGTACATTGTGGTTAGATATTTTGGAAATAAATTCATCATCTATCCCAAGTACAGCTCGTATTTGCTCTGTCCACTTTGAAGAGAAATTCTTTGACAGAACATGTTTGATAACTCGACTTAGACGAAATGCATTACCTAGTGTATAATAACAACAACATACGTATAACGATAACCAATCAGATTCAGGCACAGTATCATGGCGGACCCCCCCGCATTTTGGCTTCACTCCCCTCGTCTATCAACCAAGTTTACGCTCCGTCCCTATATTCCTATGTCCATGGGTTGATCGAGAGCAACGCCTCGATAAAATAGATCCTGCGCGCACGCATTCCCGCTCCTTATATTTTTATTATATCAAATTGTAACCGATCTAATTGTTCGGGAAATTTCTACGAAGTCGACTTGCGAGGCAACGTGAGATCAATTCTCACTCTCTATCGCCGAACCAGCCAGAACAGTCGAAAGAATCGAAATCATATAGAGAGACAGTCGTGTCGATATTCGCGCATTGAACTTAGTAATATTTCAAGTTGTACTTATAATATTAAAGTTACATTATAATAGTGAAACCAAGTCGGTGTCGAATCATTTCTTAAAAGTGTCATCCTATCAGTTACCAGTTCCCATCAAAGTATCGTCGTCATTAATTTAAATAAATAACCGGGGTCGCGTATAGGACGTAACCGTTTGAGGCCGTTTAAAATCATAGAAACTTTGAAATATCACTATTGAACATTTTTATTAAGAAATTAAGGATCTTACAACTCAGAAGTGGGATTACGGGCTCATTTAACCCGCGTCGAATATATATAAATTAAAGTCGAACATTGCCGTGTCGTGCCGAGAATAAAAAGGGCTTTTCAAGCCGCGAAGTGTCGAAGTCGAAAAAATCACTGCCGTGTCGTGTCGAAGTCGGAAAGGCTCAACGAGTCTGAAAAAGAATAAAGACGATTTTAAAGACATTGTCGAGTCGTAACGAACTATCGTAATGCCGAAAACAAGATCTATGCTCGATCGAGAAGATCTAGAGCAAGCTTCTTAGAAGCAATTC